ACTGTGCAAAAGACTTAGCCCATTAGTTTTTTAACAACAAAAAAATTGTTTTTAAGTCAGTTCTATCTTTTTCTGTAGTGTGTCAGTGTGTGCAAACCTCTGAAAGATGCATTGAGATTGCATTGCTCCACATTTTACTATTCCGAGCAAACAGTCCTTTGTCTAAATATAGACATGATCTCAGACATAACAATCAGGCTTTTGCCATTTTTTTATGTTCTTGCTGTGGCCAGTTATGTACTTGGCCCAGTTTACACTGGTTTGATTTATTTATTTTTTTTGAGATCCCTTCGAGGTGAACATTGGAATGCTGAATGACTAATTCTGTTCAATATGGCAGCCAAGTGTATGCACTGTATCACTCACTGTGCATGTCTACAGATTGGTCTGGCTAGTTCCTATATCCAGTTCTGGCCGTTGCTCAGGCAACCGCCAACATCTCACTTACAGTGCCCATTGCACATACAAACATCACATGAAAGATCTGCAGTCTCTTTCCTAACTACAGGACAACATGATTGTGTTACTGCAGTGGATGGACTTGTCCTGCCTGTCTTCTGCTGTGTGACGTTTGAGCTACATTCAAGTCTAGCATGAAGTTGTGGAGGTTTGTGCAATGGATGAATTTCAAACAGCCTTCAAATCAAGCCTCTGTAACTGATTTCCCACCAAATTGTGCTTGTAACACTGTTTATAGCAGGAGAATCGTCATGTGAGGTCTGACCTTCCGTTGTGTTTTGCATCGACTCTGTCCATACCCAGACCCCTGGTCTCTCTCTTCTGGTCTCTGGGCAGTGAAAGGATACAGTTGGTTAAGTCTTCTCAACACAGACATGTGCAGTGCACCTGTTGACCCAAGATTGTAGATGCCAGAGTATTGAAAACAAAGCTGTGGTGTCAGTCAGATGGGCTCTGCTGTGAATAGAAACCACTAGTGGGATATTTTTTTTTGTATTACAGGAACAGGAAGTGTACGGCAACCAACAAATGGCTTACTTATATGATATGTGTATTAAACTTACACTATCATTCAGTTTGGGTCAGTTAGATTTTTTACATTTTTTGAAAGAAGCCTTTTATGCTCAACATAGCTGCATTTATTGGATGAAAAATACAGTAAAACTTTAATGTTGTGAAATATGATTATACTTTTATAATTTAATATGTAATATTCAACTTAAATAGCTGTGTTCTATTTTATTAGATTATAAAATATAATTTGATATATTTATGATGGCAAAGCTGAATTTTCAGCATCATTACTCCAGTCTTCAGTGTCACATGATCCTTCAGAAATCATTCTAATATGTTGATTTGGTGCATTTCTTATTTTTATCAATGTTGAAAACAGTTGTGCCATGTTATAAATAGTTATGTTAATGTTTTTTGTGGAAACCGTGATACATTTTTTATTTGTTCAAAATTCTTTAATTAATAAAAAATTCAAAAGAACACCATTTATTTGAAATGGAAATCTTTTGTAAAACCTTTATAACATTAAAACATCTTACAGACCCCAAACTTTTGAATAGTAGTGTAGATTATATTATTGAGAGAGGACATACATTTAAATGTTAATTTATATTTATATTTATAACACATATCTCTGCATTTTAATATTTTGAAAAATTACAGCAAAAATAATTTTACTGCATTGTTTTAATTTTAAAACAATGTTGTATGTTTTCATCTTGCGCATTGCTATTTGTAAATATTGTAAAAAATATTGTTCTGAGCTTTGTTGAATTTTTTAGGTAGGTAATTTCAGCATGTAGTTGAATTAACCATAAAAAAACAGGGGGAAAAAAGTATATAATTTTTCATTCACATGTGACATCTGTGCCACCCCACTGTTAAAAAGCACATTAAACTGGCATAGAATAATTTTATCATTGAAAACATGGCACACTTCATCTTTAAAGAGTCAGTACAGACTGTCCTGTAATGTATGCATTCATCCGCTTTTCTCTGGCCTCTGACCCCCCTCCCCCTCCCCCACTCACTCAATAGCTGGTTCAGGATTTAAGAGTTTTCCTGATGCAGTGGAGATATTTACCATGTCTTCTGTCCTCTTTTATCTGCCTTTTCTACCCCATAATCTATCTTTCTTTCTTTCCTTCCTTCCTTCCTTCAGTGACTACGTAATCAAGGAGAAGACAGTCCTCCTGCAGAAAAAAGACAATGAAGGATTTGGCTTTGTGCTGAGAGGAGCCAAGGGTAAGAGCAGGGTGATATATATATATATATTTTTTTACATATAAATATATTTCAGCATTTTAATTAGCATCAAAGTTAGATAGCAGATTTGTCATTATGCTGTAAATAGACACTCATTAACAGGATCATCACAGATATATCACGAAAAAACTTTAGCTTTTGTTTCAAACATTTATATTTATGTTATTAAATAACTACTGAAAAACCACTGACAAAAATTATTTTAATAAATTGACCCCCCTGAAAGTCATTGAATAAGTCACACACTGCATAAGAGGGCACATTCACATTGCTCTTTATCTCTTACACACACATTTATACTGATGCATTCCAAAATGAGAACATTTATCTTTTATCCCTGTTCATCCTTTCTTTTTCAATTTCTTGTGTTTTCTCATAACTGTCCATGTATTGTAAACTTCAATAGAACATTCTGGACATTCATTATATAAATGTCCTCACTTTGTAGCTCAGACCCCTATAGAAGAGTTCACTCCCACCCCAGCCTTTCCAGCACTGCAGTACCTTGAGTCTGTTGACGAGGGAGGCGTGGCTTGGAGAGCTGGTCTGCGAATGGGAGACTTCCTTATCGAGGTGTCTGTAGAACTGCATCATAGAATTTATATTCTGTCCTTCCCTTTATCATTACTTGAAGTCTCTCTAGAATTGTCCTCATTACTCAAGGTCTCTCTGTCTCTTTCTGTATGTTGTTTCTTTCTCTTTTCCAGGTGAATGGTCAGAATGTGGTTAAGGTGGGACACAGGCAGGTGGTCAATATGATCAGGCAAGGTGGCAACAGCCTCATGGTTAAGGTTGTCATGGTTACCCGAAACCCTGATATGGAGGAAGGGGTCAGAAGGAAAAGTAAGCGATACAAATTCACACAGCAGCGACAACAGTGAAGCATTAAATGATGATCATGACACCAGTGACTCTCTCTCTCTCGCTCTCTCTCTCTCTCCACACAGTCCCACAGCAGAGTAAAAGGCTGAGCACACCAGCTATTGCTCTGCGTTCCAAATCCATGACATCAGAACTGGAAGAGATGGGTAAGATGTGGGAAATGGGAGGATAGAAGAATGGGGGGAAAGCTAGTGCAGTGTTTCCCAACCTTTTTTGACCCCTACAGCCCCCTCACTACGGCTCAATTACCCCTTAATCAACACAAACCAGAAATGTTTCATTTGAATTCATATTATGCTGGATATCATTTACAATTGTCATTCTATCAAGTGACACAGAAATCTGCCTCTGTCAGGTGTTTTTATGTAGTACATACTCTACCGTTCAAAAGTTTGGGCTCATTAAGTGTCATATGCTTACCAAGGCTGCATTTATTTGATCAAAATACAGCAAAAACAGTAATATTGTGAAATATTATAACAATTTAAATGTAATTTTCTAGTTCAATATATTTAAAAATCTAATCTAGCAAAGCTGAATTTTCAGCATCATTACTCAAGGCTTCAGTGTCGCATGATCCTTCTGAAATCATTCTGATGTACTGATTTGCTGCAAGAAACATTTCCTATTATTATCAATGATCTCACTGTCAAACATCTAATCATACATAAAGTTAAGAAATCAAGCACAGAGTTGTTTTAAGCACTCCCTGCGTATGTAACCCCTGAGGTTTGCATACCCTTAGCTGGGAATCACTGCACTAGAGGACAGAACCAGAAGGTTTAGTGAGAGAGAGAAGACAGTGAAGAGAGAAATTCAAGAGAGCAAAATAGAATAGTTTGAATGGTCAGAAGGGGGAGGGATGGAAGAAGAGAGCGTGAATGGGAGAATAAACTATCACAGTCATACACTGAAAGGAAGTAGAAAAGATGGAGGGAAGTGTTTGAACCGGATGGCATAGAGATAGAGAGGAAAAGAAAGAGAGAGAGAGAGAGAGAGAGAGAGACAGCATTAAGAATGTTCTTTCACTGTTCTTTCAGAAGTTCCACACTGTCACTACCAGCACCCCCACTACAGGTAACCCCCCAAAAACTGTCCCCTCCCAACCCTAATATCCCCCTGCCTTCCACCTTATTCCTCAATCCTACACCTGCAGCCCCTCTTAGCTTTAACCCTAAACCTCAATCTAAACCACCTTCCTTGTAGTCACACACCTCTGGCTCTCAGAGAAACAGGTTTCTGAGTGCTGCGCGTGTTGCTGTAGTAACGCAGCGGGCAGTGGGCATTGCTAGAGAGGCACAGTATGTGCTTGCTCAAGGTGTCACCATCACTGACAATCATTTACTTTATCAATCAGGCTTATATAACATTGAGAGGGTCAGACTAGATCATTTCAATGGCCCACCACCAATACAAACACAGCTTATTGTCATCTGTATCCAAATCGATGTACACACCTTCCCCTATCAACCTTTAAACCAAAATCACCTCTTGTAGTCCACTGAGGCATGTTTTCCCTTCTCCCTTCTCTTCAGCCCAAGCAATATTCTCAGAGCTCACAGTCCCTAGTGGCCCTGTGTCTACAGTAAATGCTCAACACTCTCCTCAGCCCAGTTCTCATAATTCAGTAGTCAGGGTTAATGTGAGGGTAATGCAATTCAGTAATAGTGAGTACTGATTATAGCACTCAATCAGATTGGCTGGCTTCTATTTAGGTTCTGGTGAAAATCAGGATGAACAGGTGTTAATCATAAACATAGTCATGTTTACAACAAACACTTCTAAGCAAGAACTAGATGTAACCAGTTTGCCAAGTTCATGGTATTTAATTTTTTACAAGATATTCATAGTTTATTCTAAGTATTTAGTACCATGTAACACTGACATACTTGTGCACAATGGTATATTCAGTACAGATGAACAATATATCAGCTGTCATATTGATACTGTTATGATAAGCAAAATAGGCCAATATATATACACTACTTTTTAGGGCTGCCCCCCAATAGTCGACTAATTGTTACTCGACGAGAAATGGCTTAGTCGACCATATTTTTTTTAGTCGCTTAAAAAAAATACACAGGAAGTGGCGAAGTCATGCATTCTGTGATGAAAGATCGTCAACAGCTGCTCTATGCGGTAATATACAGTACATCGGCCAGGGCATCCAAACGCTCACTTATCATTCATCGACCTCAAATATGGATTATCATCTGAAACATGTAAGTAGTAGCAACTTCACATGGCCTCTCACTCTAATGTTAACCTATAAAAATGTGAGCTATTTCAGCGTTTGTGCGGAATGAGGAGGCGCATGCCGGTGTGATCACTTGCGCTTAAATTTTTTTGGTCATACAAATAGGAGTTATACATCTTTGTAAGCTTTAAAGACTCTTTTATTTGTGTGCAATCACAATAACAAAAAAACCTAAAAAAACTAATGTAAAATAATGAAAGCGAACAGGGTGCACGTGTGTTCAAAGAGGGTCTGGCTGCAGACTTGCACTTGCACTCTCAGACTTGCATTCTCAGGCTTTGTCCAAATACCCACACTTGCAGTCTTTGCACTTGACCACTTGATTTCTTAAATGACGTATTTCCTGTATTTGGCCGAAGGCGCACGCACTCTCAAGTGACCAAGACCGCAAGTGTGGGTATTTGGACAAGGGGCCAGACTTGCACTCTCAGACACTTGCGCTTCCGCAAGCAACGTCACTTGCAGTCTTTATTTTTTATTTTGTTTTATTTATTATTACTTTTTGTTTGAATCTCTCAACATTTTACAACAGTAGCCAGGTGGTGAAGACAAGAAAAAAGAAACTAAATTACAATGTCACTTGCAATCGCCACTTGCACTCTCTGCTACCTGCGACGTCAATTGCAATCGACACAAATCGTGCGTGTTGCCAATGGAGACAAAACGCTGTGGTGATTAAACGATTAAAACTAATTTAGTACTATAAAATACAGGGTCCTGCAAGAAGAAGAACATGAACGCATGCGCAAAGTCTCTCGTTAAGCATTTTCCTCCTGTAGAAAAACATAAACACTTAACATGGCACTTAAGATGCTATTAAAATATCAAATTAAATATACAGTTTATTAATATAATGAATATGTATATAGTATTTTCCTCCCATACCGCAAAACGTGGCAT